CTTGTGGTACTTGAGTACCAGGTTGGAGTCATAGAATCACAGAATTGTGGAGTTGGAAGGGACTCCAAGGGTCATCTAGTCCAATCCCCGGCAATGCAGGAATCTCATCTAAAGTATCCTTGTACATATATCATTGTATATTGTTCTTTGTATGATGCCTTGAACAATTTGGGACAGATTTTGTGGACAGATGTGGAGAGGTTTGATTATAAGCCTGTGGTTTCTCTATTGGGTGGAAATGATACAACTGTGAAGTATATTCATTTTCTATCTGCAGTAATTGATGAGATGAGAAAATTTGTAACGGGAGAATGCTGTGTCTTGTCAGCGAGATTCAGAATCTTAAATTTGTTTTATACTCTTATTCATTTAGTATTTACATAATTTTATTAAGATTTGCATAAATATATTTAATTTCATTTTAACATTTTTTAAAAATAAGTCCAACATTTTTAAACGGCATGTTGTGATCTGCCTGACAGCTTTTGAAGCAGATTTCCAGGCACTGCAGCCTGACTAAGAAATGTGACTGGAATTTCCCTGTCTTTGTGAGGAGAGGGCAAAAATTCATGAGACAGAGCACTTCTCAGTTCTGTAACAATTTCAGGTTGATAGGCCTTATGACCTACATAAGGCTCCCTGCTTCATTCAGGTACAGAAAGCAGCACAGAAGACTGTGTTCATCAGGTTTACTTTGGGCATTAAGCTGGATGTCCTGTTGACAGATGGGAATGGGTTTTTCTATTTCATCAATGTTGGCTGGGTATGGTCATATTTTTTATCTTCCTTGAGGTATTTGTTAGGGAAACACATACAATTTTGATTTGGCTCTTAACTATCACAACTTTGGCAGAAAAAAATGTATGCAGGGGGCCTTCCGAGGGTGGGCAGGTACCTGTGGCTATGGGCATGGTAGGGCAGGGTAGAGAGACTGGCAGCACCAGAAAAAATTGGGGGGGGGGGACAGAAAGGGCTAAATATATTTCTAGGTGGGCTGGTTGTGTGCCACATATTAAGGTAGCTGAAAGAAAAATAACAGTTTATCTTAATGAAAGGGGTCCAGTAATAGCAGGGGGGTGAGCGTCTGATTTAGGTGTGCCATGTCATCCATGGGTAAAGACCACCCAACAGAGTTTGAGCAACTGCAGGAAAAGAGACCTACCTGTAGCTGAACCATATGCCCAACATAGGACAGAAAGTTCAAGTGCGAACACTCAGATCATCCAAGGCATAGAAGTGGCATGAAAAGCCAGGCCAGTGAGTTGGGTGGGTAGGATGGCCTTCATCCCCCTTTTCTTAATTAGTATTATGTTGCATAATGCTTAAATTTATAATCCAAGAATAGTGTACATTTCTTTCGTGCTGATCACAGTTGGGTTCAGAAGTGAACAAATAGCCAATATTGATTTCTCAGCATGGATGAAATATGTTCCTGATGAGCTTTTCCAGTTAAAATCCTGCCTGCAGAATTTTGAGCAAATAGCAGCTTCAAGGGCAATACAGTGCACAAGAGTCAGCCTCAGCTGACATACCAGCCTAAGCTGGTAGAAAGCAGGTACTGAATTTTGACTTGCCACCACCATCCTGATTGGATGACATTTTAAAAAGCTCTCAGGTAAGATCCTCCCTCTATTGTGTGGGCAGGTAATCCCTCCCCTACCTGGCCTGGTCTCCTTGGCAACGCTTCCCCCAGGTGGGATTGGACAACTGACTGAGGTAGGCAGAGACCTCCAGGTATCCCACCTGAGGGAAGGCAAACCAAGCCTATGCTGTTGGAGCCGCTCCAGATCTAGGGGCTGCGCGCGTCCACGCAAAGGGCGCCCCCGTTTTAAGTGGGGAGTGGTCATTTTAAAAAGCTCTCATTGGTTGCTGGGTCATCAAGAAGCTGACCTAGAGTCTATCCATGACAGACTGAAAAAGATTTTCTACAACACTGGTGGCGGGGTGTGTGTGTGGGAGAATAGCTTTATATAATAGAGGCTGATAGCGGTGGCTTGTGCTAAAACTAATTTGTGGATAAAATGTATTTCAAATAACAAGGCAAAACTAGATGAGAGTGGTTCAAGTTGAAAGTGGACACAAACATTTGAATGGTATGGACTGGTGAAGCGTGTTTTATCCTTCCACTTCCACTTCATAATATCAATATATCATCTACTGATTGATCCTCCATCCCCTAAGTGTGGTTTTCCATGCATAGATACATAAAAAATCTACTGGTATCAATGGGAGATTGATTGACAGCCTCACTTAAAAACAAAGTATGTTGATCTACAAATGCACAGTCTTGTGCATGTGGCTTCTGAGTTGAATGAATACTTGGATAGGGAGTTGAGGTTGTGCCAACTGGCCTGCCCCAACCTACACACATTCTTCACCTTTTCTGCACCAATGCTATGCATGCACCAGCAGTACACACACAGGCTCTCTCCGTGCGATCTGTTTTTTTCATTTTTAAAGGTACATAAAACATATGCATAGCCTACATATGTATGTACAGGTTATGAATATATAGACTCTGTGTAAAACAGACAATGAGTACATTGAGACCAATGTGCAGGGGCAGTGGGTGTCAAAGAATTTAACTTTAACAGGTCTTCTATTTCAAAAGACCATTCTATTTTCGTTCCTAATTTTCTTTGCTTTAGAGAAAAGCTCATTCTCTCTATATATATTACTTGTTTGGAGCTTCTAACTTCTTGGTTGCCAAGGAGAGTCAGCAGAATAGCAGTGCAGGGTTCTAACCTCCAGCACTCAAATGGATCAAGTAAAAGGAAACTCTGCATCTCTCTTCATGTAAAATGCACCGTGTTCCAATTTCCGTTCAGAAAACAAGCTCATGCTGTCTAATTGATTGCAGTAATATTAGGTCTAGTGTAGATCAGCACTTAATTTTTGTGATTATTTCCTCCGATAAAGTATTTTGTGCCACTATGCAGATTGCTGCTTCTTGACTCTTCTCCTTCTCTTCCTCGCTTTTTCAGGGAAGGATGTAGGGGCAAAGAAGCACCATTCTATTTCACAGGTTTTGAGGTCCAGAGGCAGAGAGGTGAGGCCCTGATGCTGCGAGGCAGAGCGATGTGGGGTGGAAAGGGCTTGAGTGGCCTGGATGCAACAGCTCTGATTCCAAGCACGACAAAACAAAAAGCTGTCTGGGCGATGACTCTGCATGCTCCGCTCCTTGCATCCCACTGCCCTCAAACACTTATGAACCTCCTTCCATCCTGCTGCTCCTGCCATGGAGGGGAAGGAGGGGGGAAGCAGCCCCAGAGCGATGGCAGTGGCCGATGGCATTGTGGCTCTGACCACAGAAGAATATTATTGGGGGTGCAACACACCTGATACCCCCTAAAGTTGGTGTCTATGACATCTGCCCCTTATTGTCTTCAACACTGGGGGGCAGCCCCCCAATATTTTATTGAGGAGGGGGATGAAGGGACCTGAGCCCCTTAGAGTTGGCACCAATGGTTCAAGAAAGGTTTAACCACATGGCTTTTCTGGAAAAACTGCAAGTTTTAGAGATGCTGTTTCTGGAAAACTGCAAGTTCTAGAGATCTGTTGGCTGACAGCTTAGGGAGGAGGGACATCTTATTCTTATTGTTCATTTTCCTTACCTCTGTAGCCCTGCTGTAAAATGCATCTATACAATAGCACTTTGTGGGGCAAAGCAGAAAGAGCTGTAGAACCTTGTTTCAAGGCACAGTAGTTCTGTTATCCACAATAACACCAAGCCACCACGTACAAAGTTATTGTACCAAAGATGTATAGCCTGGTCCAAGCCATGTTTGCATGGTAATAAGTCCCATTGATTTTAATCAGATTTACTTCCTAGTGAGTATGCCTAGAATTGCAGCCTTAGGTAGGAAGAAGACGTGCTAAATAACACCAAACCTATTGGTAATGATTGGGCTGTGTAACTACATAGTCCCCAAGGGAGGAGAAGTAATGGGAGGAAAAGAAAATCATATGCAGAACATGTGCTATTTGAGGTCAGACACCAATTACATTAAAAATGCTTGCTGACTGTACAGCGGAAAAGAAAAGGAAAAATATTCTGTAGGCTGAATTCCAATTTTATGTTTGTGTTGACCCGTGCCCTTTATTGAGATTCCAGCAGTGACCATTATTTAGCCCAAACACAACACAAAATATACGTGTGTGTGTGTGTGTGTGTGTGTGTGTGTGTGTGTGTGAAACATTGCTTAGCAGAAGTGTTGCCAGAAAGCATCATTAAGCTCTAAAATTTTATTTTATATAGCACACTGTAAATAGAAATATTAAAGATTTATGGAATAAAATTAGTGGTGCTTTGTCACTGTGTAGATCTGGGAAATAAATAAGCAGGAGTCACAATCGATGTCTGGCTCTGTACCTCGTAATTCACTGCTCATACTTGCTTCCTATAAGGCAGCGTGACTCCCATGGAGCTCCAGCCATTGATTGCAAAGTCACCTGGCTCAGCATGACGGATGATTCTTGATAACCTATCTATCTAAAGTAGAATGGATGTTACTTATACAGATACAAAATTGTCCCTGCTCCTTATCGTTAACCACACATGCCTTATGCTGTTTGCTGCAGATTATACTGTTGGCCTGTGCATTAGTTACAGGGGGATACATTTATAATGCCCTACCAACTGCATAATGCAAAGTTACTGGAGTGCCTGTCTTCTTTGAATGGCTAAAACATAAATTAATATTATTCAAATTGATATCACATAGTCCCAAATCCCAACATTCTCTTTTTTCTGGTTGTTGGCAGATTATTTTTTAAGCTTCTAATGGTCTGTGTGTGCTTGTGTTTGTGCAAAGAGTCAGGCAAACAAACAGGTGAAGCACAGAATATAAATATGCAACACTCTCTACAGCTGTTTGCTTCCAAACTGGCCATTTTCTCTGAAATGTATCACCATTTTGTTTGCTCAATTTTAATGGACAATCCTGATGACAATATTGCTAAAACATTGCATTTTAGTATTTTTACTGAATTGTCTGCTTGTCTGGATAGCTCAGTTGGTTAGAGTGTGGCGCTGATAATGCCAACATTGCAGGTTCACAACTTAACAAGTCCCATATGGGACAACTGCATATTCCTGCATTGCAGGGGTTGGACTAGATGACCATTAGGGTCCCTTCGAACTCTACAATTCTATGATTCTAATTGTGATGCTAGACTGTCCAGTGTGGGCTGACATGGTGGTCTTTCTGCACCTTGCAGGAAGAGTGGTTTCCCACCAACAACTTGGTCCCAGCTTGGCCAAATTTTTGTTTTTAACTCCAAACCTTGTTTTGCGTTCAAGCTGAACTGCATAAATCTATTTTTGTTCAATAAAGTTCATATTTCTAGTTAAAAACCAGTAATTTATCGCTTGTTGGGTTTACTTCACCAAATGCAAAATCAAAGTGTGACTTGCTTGAGATGATGTGTTAATAAGGGGCTGATCTGGGCTACTTACTTGGAGCCCATTTGGGTAGAGAGTGAGCAGCAGTGGCTACATAAACCAGGGTAAGAATGAAAAGAGGAAAGCAGACAGTGTTTGCCAGGGAACAGAATCTAGATTGCTGTTGATAGACTCCTTGCCCACCTGGAATCAGCCTAGGGATGGAGGACTGGGATCTGAGCCTTCTCAGCCACAGAAGAAGTCTGTGGATGCACCCTGCACCAACTGTGCTTCCTTCCTTTCAGTGAAACGTTTGCTTTTGCTGTGGGGATGGCTATTGTGGGATGCTGAACCATGTCAGTATACAAAATGGTTTTCAATTATATAGTTTTGCCTGCATCCTTTTGGAAACATTTGTCATCTGTCACATGCGTCATTTGCCTCCTCATTTTCTTCTCCTTTGCTAAGTTGTTGAATTGAAAAAGCTGGTTCAAATGTGACACATCCTTCTCTTGAGGTGAGTTCACACTTGCATTTTTCAGAAGTGAATGACTGCAGCACAAAATGATGACTTCCATGTATGAAACAGCTTTTGCATATCAAAATACCACACACAGAATCCGCTACTGTAAAAATGTGTGCCTGTTTAGCATACAATTTAAGCTCTAATTTTTGCATCTCATTGCCACTCAACTCCCACCTTATAGTCTTCTCCTTTACATACAAGCCAACTAAAATTTTATGTAATGAATCGAATGAAGTGTGTTTAAGTCCATTAAAAGTTATGCCATGATATGGAGAATGTAGTGTGTGGCATCACCATGCAGACAATGACAGCAGTATGCACTGCTGTGTATCATTTGGCTATGTGTCATCGAGTGGTGTGATACTGACAGGAGAACATGCATGTTCAAAACAGTATATGGACATTTTCTCTGAAGTTTTATAAGGGACACAATTTTAGGTGATGGCTCTTTCGAATAGTCCACACTGTCCCTCTCAGGGAATGTTTGAATTGGTCCTGATTATTATGGTTTTATGGTTAGATAATAAATTCCATAAATCATAAATTTACTTGAAGACAGGAGCACCTGCCTTTGAAAACTGACTTCTTCAAGTATAGAAAACATGATTCAGGTAGACAAGCTCCTGTGAGATCTCCAGACTCGTGAGATATTTATCTTTTCTCAGATGATGCATAGAGGTCTGTGTCCAAATCTTTTCAGTAATGTGTCATCAGTCAATTGATTTGATGTTGCTTCCAGATGAAGCATATGTTAATGATACATCCTGAATTGTTTGCATACCCAGGTGCATGATGCCTGCAGCCTGGTGAGAGCCCAACCATAGAAATAAGACACAGGGTTAAAATAAGCAACAACTTTTAATGATTACAGATGTAATCATTGGGTATGTATCCGGTATCAAGCAGCCTGTCTGCTGGTTGATTAGTAGGGTAGGCAGTCTACCTTGACTGGGGGTTGCCCCCTGACATGCACCAGGTGATACAATTCTGCCAGGGCTGCCATTGGGAAGGGTCCTATGGCTCTTTGAGTGTGGACTCCTGGACAGAGACACCGCTCCTTGACCCCTTTAACAGGGTACCTGATCAGCTAATGATCCAAACCAATGCCTGATCTGCCAAAAGTTGTGGCATTTGCTATGAGGTAGGCGAAAACCTGCAGACAAGACAGTTTGTCTGCAGGACAGTGTACTATAGCAAGGTCCTCACTGTGTTGAAAGACAAATAATGTTAACAAATGAAAGCAGTTATATTTGTTGATGCATGTTACATTTATTCATGTCTAGATGTTGCCAAAACATAAACAGTAACTAATCCATGTTAAAATATTTTATTTCATACTTTCCTTTTTTTGGACAAACTCAGTATGTTTTGTGATTTCCCATGTTCTACTCCGGCATTCTTTAATAAATAGTAATATGGAAGTAAACCTTTGAGAACATAGGTGTGTGTGTGTGTGTTTTCATGTAGGCTGCAATTTGATCTTAATCCCTCTGTTTGTTTGCTGTAATTGTTTGCTCATAAGCTTTTTCTCATAACCTCTTTTAGCAGATCTCATTTAACTTCAAGAGATGAATGGATATATTTCCCACAAGAGAGATGGGAAATTATTTGTTTCTAATTTGCAATATATTGTGACTATACTAGTTAAGGCAGGGACGCGGGTGGCACTGTGGTGTAAACCACTGAGTCCTGGGCTTGCCGATTGGAAGGTTGGCAGTTCAAATCCCCACGACGGGGTGAGCTCCCGTTGTTCGGTCCCAGCTCCTGCCAACCTAGCAGTTTGAAAGCACGTCAAAGTAGATAAATTGGTACTGCTCCGGTGGGAAGGTAAATGGCGCTTCCATGCGCTGCTCTGGTTTAGCCAGAACCGGCTTAGTCATGCCAGGGGTGAATGAAGGCTAACCAGCACCCGGGGTGGGGCAAACCGATGGCTGCGCATGTGTGGCGCCACTACGTACGACGCATGCATGCAACGATGTACATGCCCTTGTTTGGGAGTTGGGTTTGTGGGTTCCCCCCTTTCCTTTCCTCTCTCTCTCTCCTCCCCTCCCCGAGTGTACATACACATACAACCGCAGAGTCGTTTGTGACGACTTAACTGTCAGGGTTTCCTTTACCTTTACCTTTTTATACTAGTTAAGTAGAGCTAGTCATGAGGACCGACTGCCATATAAGCAGAGATATTTCTGTAAATACCTTTCCTGGAACTTTTCTGTTTTTTGATGTTGCCATCACATGTGCTGATGAGTCCCTTTAGTGGAAAATCCTCTCCAGCACATGGGAGAACTGTTCTGTTTTATATAGGCTAGGCATCTATGTGTTAAGTACCAGTCACGCAGAATTTTAAAGGCTCCTTCTCTGGTTGTTGCCAATATGGATTTGTATGGCACTTTTTTCACAGTCTGTCCTATGCCTCTTCAATTTCTAAATCCCAATTCACCTTCTCAAATTTTGCCAAGGACAAAATTGAACCTCTATAATAGATTTATACAAAGATGCTACTAACCTTTTCGTTATTATATTATTTTTTTCGTATGTTGTTAATTGTCTCATAGCTTCATTTTTAACTAGGGAAAAATGACCTTAACTGGTAGACTAATAGCCATGATACTTGAACATTTCCCAATTGAATTTGTATCTCTTTTATGGTAAGCAGTCGCCCATCTTTGTAAAAATCTTTCAAATAATACAATTAATTTTCTTCCCACACATCTGTATTATAGGCTCCATAGTTGTTGGCATCTACTGCTGCTGTGGTTTTGGAATGTGATGAATGAATAATTTCACATGGATATTTCTGTCAACCTATAATATCATTTAAGGAAAACTGGAGCTGAGTTGTTGGAGTGCATCTTGATAGGTGGCAACTCTGTGGCCTATTGCATATTCAAAGCACACTCACATAATCCTTAGACAAGTTTCTCACATCCTTTTGCCTCTCCTGTGAGTGTTAAAAGAGTTGACTAAGGTACAGATTTGCATGCAAAGTAAGAATTTGTCTTTTAAATCTATCCACATCTATGGCTCATAAATCAGACTTTTCAGCTCACTTCTACATAAATTAGGGTTCTACACTTTAAGGGTAAAAATGGCTATGTCTAACTTCATACAGTTTTATGAACCTTGTCTAATGTTAACATACTTGGATGCCACTTACAAATTAGTTGGTCTCTATGAATGTTGAAAGAGCTTCAGAATCATATTAATATTTCCCCCCAGTGTGTGTATTCTCATAGTGAAAAAAAGCTTTTGTGTTTTATTCATTTCAAGAGACAGCAATCCCTGTGCTGCAATGAATGCTTTCATCTGATTTCTTTGGGGACTGTAAGATGCAGGCCTATTACAGATAACTGTCTTTTTCATTATTATTTTTAAAATATATGGTGTTATTAAAACAATTTATTAATATTTACTTTCCTAACCATATCATCAATTAAGTGCATTCTCCTCATATTCTCTTATTATGCAAACTTTGTTTCCAGAATGATTTTAAAGTTAATTACTCGGAGGAAGCTTGGAATAGTTTCCACTACTGTAAGCAGTTTTGAATCTAGGATGTAGTAAACTATTTCTCACTAGCAATGATTGTAAAACAAGCCATCCAGTAGAGAGTGAGCAAGAGATACTAAGAGAATAAAATTAAAGAAATGGTTGACACTGGAAATTTCAATGAAATATTGCCAATGGGCAGAAGCCGCTGAAGTTCAGAGCCTCTCTGTGGATTCTCTCTCTAATATTGCTTAGGCCAACCTGCTATCTAAAGCCTTAGTTTCTGATTGTCTGGTGAGAGCTGTACAGCATATGCTGCAGGCACTATTTTGATATTCATCTGAACACATATAGAGTAGGAGCAGTGTACACAATCACATTGTAGTCTTCATCTTTTCTGTACATTAAAAAAGAGTCTCTGAAAAAGACATTGCTTATACAGTATAGGCAATCTCTTTTGCAGGTCTTCTGTATATGTACAGGACTCTCTCTCTCTCTCTCTCTCTCTCTCTGTGTGTGTGTGTGTGTGTGTGTGTGTGGTACCCTGAAAATATAGTACATAGGCAGTTCAGAAAGAGAAACAGGATAATTCCATCATCATTGTTTTAGTTCAGTAATGATAGCTTGAGTTAGGATTAGGTGAGGGGACTGAGGTAGAATCTACTAGGTGCCTCTATTTGCAGCAGCTTAAATGCTGACTCCGATTTCAGGTCTAAGATGACGTAATGCTATAGGATTGGGGGGATGGTAGTTGAAGGAACTGCTGAATTGGTCAAACCAATTTCTTTGTCAAGCTGATGGCCAGTTAGGTATCCCCATCTCCAAAGGGGAAGTGATAAGCATGTTACCATAGAGATAACTGGAGATGTTTTCAGGAGGAGGGGTGGGCCTTTCCCACCTCACCTGGCTGGATGCCACATCATCCTAGGAAGGATGTGTGGTGAGTTTGGATGGACTGGGAGACACAAAGGCTTGACTCAGGGCCATCTTTTCTATTTGGCTTAGTGGCGCCATGCGCCACGTGCCTGCCCAGCAGGGGCATCCAGCAGCGGGACGTGGTTTGCTGTGTTTAAACTCATTACTGTTATTTACACCTGTCTTTAGCATTCTAATTACTTGCTTTATTACTCTTGGAGGGGGCACCGAGCGTTGGAGTCAGGCATGGCTTACCCATAGGCGTCCGCTGCTGAAGCCGCCGCACTCCCCAGCTGCAGGGTGGGACGATGCGAGCCAAGCAAACGAGGCTCTTTTGCTCATCTCTCTCTTCAAGCGGTGCGCTCACCCCAGCCTCAAAACCCGGTCTGGAATCACCTTCCTGCGCTCGCCCGAGCCTCAAAACCTGGACTGAAATCACCTTCCTGCTGCATAGGCGGCCGCCAGCGGGCAGCTGCTGCTGCCAGGGACGTCGCAATGTGGGGGCATGGGAAGCAGTGCCATCCAAAGGGGGGGGGGGCAACAAAATTCCAATTTGTTTTTCTATTAAAAGAATCTCCATGTATCCGACCGTCGCGGATATGGGTTTCTTTTCTTGAGTAATGGGCTGTGTTTTTGAAGTTGTGACACTTGTAACAGGATGACACTCTCTCTGTCTCTCTGTCTCTCTGCCCTCTCCAACCTTTCTACATCTCCCTTCTTAACTGTTTCCTGCCTCGCTTTAAATCCTTTCTCACGTGGAAAGACACCTTTGGGAGGCGATTTTGCCCTTTTGGCTCTTTTCCCCTAGAATTATAGTACAGTATTGTAGAGTTGGAAGGGACCCTGTTGAGGATCATCAATCCAACCCCCTGCAATACAGGAATCTCAACTAAATCATCCGTGACAGCATCCAACGTCCGATTGCAAACTTCCAAGGAAGGAGAGTGCAAAGCCTCCTAAGGGGGTCTGTTGCACTGTTGAAGGGCTCTTGCTGTCAGAAAAGTTATTCCTGATGTTTCGTCAGAATTGCCTTTCATGTAACTTGTAGCCATAGCTTTGTGTCCTATCCTCCAGAGCAGGAGAAAACAAGCTTGTTCCAAATATTTGAAGATGGCTGTCATATCTCCTCTCAGATCCCTTGTTTCCAAGCTAAACATATGCAGCTCCTTCAAGCACTCCTCATAAGGCTTGGTTTCCAGACCCTTGATCATCTTGGCTGCCCTCCTCTGCACATGTTCCAGCTTGTCAATGTCCTTCTTAAATTGTGGCACCCAGAACTGGAAACAGTATTCCAGGTGTAGTCTGACTAAAGCAGAGTAGAGTGGTACTTGATCTAGAGACTAGATTTTTGTTGATGCAGCCTAGAATAGCATTAGCTTTTTTTGCTGCAGCATCACATTGTTGACTCATATTGTGGTCTACTAAGCAGCGATCATTTTTTATAAGGGCTGGCACAGGCCATTTAGGAGTCTTCATTGTTAGCTTCCTTGAATTAATAAAGGGTTCCTTTCAAATTAAATGCTGTGTTTGTTCATTTCTGATCTTGAGCTTTTAGGGAGGTTTAAAAAAATAATAATTTTGCCTTGTTACTGCACTGGATTGCTCTGCAACTCAATTTATTCGTTTGCTTGCTGGCATAATGGCAAAGGAATCTATTTAACTAGCCTGCCCCTTTTTTCTTTTCCCGAGCAGAGAGAAGCGTGGTGTCAGTTCCTTAAAAAAAAAGATGACAACTCTGGGCAACCTTGGGGGGGGGGGAGCGCCAGGCAGATCTTTGCACCTCGTCGCCACATATGCTTAAGACGGCCCTGACTTGACTTGCTCTCTGTACTGTACTGTACTGTACTGAATCCAGAGCTATGGCTTTGGTGGTGGTGGTGCTCCCTGGAAGCTTAATGGGGAGACAAAATGTGCTGGAGGGTTCATGCTGTGAGCCCTTCATTCTATGCTCAGGTTGTATATATGCATATTTAAAACCATATATCCTAAAGACACCACCTTTAACCTTTGTTCCAAGGAAACTGAACACTGGGTAATCACTGGCTCCCCATAATCTCTTGCTTCTCAGAGACTGGAGTGTAGACAGCAGTATAATAAAATCTTTAAATTGAGTTCCGTACTTATCTGTATAATTTATTTTGTGAGCAGAATTTCTTGCCAAATAATGTGTTTCCATCTTGCAGTTTGGTCTTTTTAATGAGTAATGTGAATAAATAAAGAACACAGAATTCATATTATGCAAAGCTATAAAAATTAAGCCTTAGGTATTGACCTAGAAAAATAGCACGGATTTGGAATCCAATTTCTGTATTTTCTTTTCTGAAACTTGAAAATCTTTGTAGTGCTGAGACTCCAGTGTTGTTGATGTCAAAATTTGATTTGCTTCTTTCCTCTAATGATATTTCTGCTGTATACAAATAAAACAAAGAGTTCAACTGATTTTCAGGGATTGAACACATCTACACTAGAAAATCTTTATTTGCATGTTATCAAATTATATCCCGCTTTAATTTTACATAATCTTCAGGAACTGTAAGTAAGTGATCATGAACAAGTCCACAGCAATCCTGTACTAATTTGGGAATTCAGAAGTGCTCATGTAGATCACTTTGTATCAGACATTTCAGCTGGTGCTGCACTGTCATCTTTCAACATTGCCAATACGGAAGATTTTTTGGACCAAAAAAATCATACTGTGCTGCCTACAGAGCCAGCTTCCAACTATTGATATGAGGGTGTACTGGCGAAAAGGCCTATGTGTTTTCCACTAATGTGTTCCACACCTTGAATTGACCATCAACAGCACCAAACTGAAAGCATGGGCAGCTGAATTACAGGCATGCCCCAAGAAGATTGTTGTTAATCAGACATTGGCTGGGTATTTACTTCACTCATATTGCCAACACTCAGTAGATTTTGGTTCCTCATGGCAATGAGACCTCTGATGATGTGTAAACTGTCTATGCAGAACAGAGTTGTGTTTGAAGTCGTTTCAGGTGATACAGAAGGCTCTTTCTGATGTTTGATCTGTAATGGCAATTTCACACGTCATTTAGTTGTTTATTAAATCAATGAATAATCCACTTTCCTGCCAGAATACTCAAATCATTGTACAACTAATGATCACTTCATGTTATGGCTATTGAGGGGTGAACATGCATGTGTGAACTCTGTCTTATAAGATTACTTTCAAAGTGTGCGGTTGTTGGTTAAGGGGGCAGGACATTGGGCAGGGGAGTGGTTTATTACAAAATGCTTCCTAGTTCATATTTTATTATGTACTTTAGTCTACTAGTCTACTCATTTTATGAGTGACAGCAGGCAGATGGAACTAGGTCAGGTGAAAGTCTGGAGATAGGTATTGCTTAGCTTTCTTGCTTATGCCAATGAGATTTTTGACAAAGGAAGAAAGCTGTGAAAGTGTAACGAGAAGAAACAAACATGGATAACACTGATAAAATAATAATTGCCTCCCAGTGCATGCTTGCATTCAGATTTTGTTCCTTAAAAGAATTTTTTTTCTGGAAAGAAAAGCTATACTTTCAGTTTTGTTGGAAACAGTGGGAGACTGTTTTGTTTATTTATAGTCGCAGTCCAAAGCGAAATGTACTGAAAATGCAGGTGGAAGTGTACAATTATCATTAGCTGTGAAATAGATCAGTTATTATTTCTATTGATACAAAGAAAACAACAAAATCTATTCCTTTTGAGAGTTTCCTGTAATAGCTTTTCATGCCTCATTTATGACATACTTTAGCATTAAGGCAGTGAAAGATTGAAGTATATAGTGCTGGGGTGACACATGGTTTATTATTAATGACGACTATTATTTCTAATGAAAGAGTTTTCTCCTCCAAAAGAGCACATGATTAGTAGATGCAATAGCTTACTCTCTCTGACTTTGAAATAACATTAAGAGCAATACAATCACTTTATAGTGCAGGTAGGCAAGCAGTGATCAAAGGCTCTGTCTGTCCCACAATGCTGCCCAATTCCAGGGATACTGCCATGGTAATGCATTGATAGGCCCTTTGAATGAATGATTAAGTTGCTTTAAGGGATTGCTATGACAGAGGCTCTGTAGGAAAGGCTTTTAGAATCATTTGCTTGTGGCAAAAGGAATGGCACCCCACCTTTGGTGGGGGCAAGTTTGCCCCACACCCCTCTCATTGGAAGAGACTTGAATTGATCTCCCCTGAGGGGGTGGGCTATATGGGAACCACTGCTGCAGGAGTGCTCTCTCAGAGGAAGCCATTCAACCCTGCTGTGTCACTTCCTCTCCTTCCTTTCACATTGCAGCATTGGTAAGAGTGGTTCACGTTCTCTCTCCATGCTGTGGAGGCTAGCTCCTTAGGTACTCTGAGGCGCAGCTGGCTGGCTGATGGTGAAGAGTAGGAGTGAGCACGAGTGTCTCACTTTGAATAGGACTTCATTATGCTTCCTGCCTTCACAGCAGGTAACTGCCCTTTCAGTCATCAGTTTGGTCATCAGTATTGCTTATGGCATTTGGGGCTTGCACAGATGAGAGATCCACTAGCTGACCACGTAGGACTGGACATCAGGATGTTTATGTGCGAACATCAGTCTAAACCCCATGAATGGCCAAGCAGACCCACCATGTAGGCCTCACTATCAGAACATCTCCCCTTGCCCATATAGGTCCATACCCTCCAAGATTTCTCCAATGAAAATAGGGACGACCCATTCCATAATGATAATTTTACTGTTTATACCCCACACATCTTATTGGTTTGCCCCAGTCACTCTGGGCAACTTCCAACATATATACAAACATAATAAAACATTAAACATTAAAAAGCTGTCCCTATACAGGATTGCCTTCAGGCAGCTCAGGAGTCAAGTAACTCCATACCCTCCAACATTTTGACAATGGAAATAGGGATGTCCTAAGGAAAAGTGGCTCTCTCTCAAGAGTCACCTGCTATGGGCTATGTGGCATTCCTTGTATCAAAAAGCAGCTGCTGTCCACCATTGTCTCACTAGAAGTTTGACTGTCTTTCAGCTGGAGACCTTTCGGTATTAATCAAGATGTAATGCATCAGTAAGGTAATGTAGTGTTAATTAATGCTCACTTGTAGATGATTATCATTACATATGTAATATCAAAATTAGTGGCACTTGGAAATATTCATCATCATGAATACATTAGACCTTTGAGATAAAAGGACTTAGTTATAATGAAGTCAATGTTGCAGGTCATTTCCCACTACTCAGTAGAATCTATGTTGTAGTTAACCATCTAAAGAAACACCTTAAAAAGTAATTTATGTGCAAAATTGAGGTTAGTAGACTGGTAAGGTCTGTGTCATGTGGAATTTTCACAGGTGCATTTGCTGCACCTTCAGTTTATTTGAGAATTCTCAGTGTTCCAGTGGAAAACACTGAAATACACTAATTCCTTTGATATTCATTAAAATAACATTAATCTTGATGAACTCTGCTGGTGTTAATGTTGATTTATTCTGAAACCTTCTAATTAAAATAAATCAGATTCTATAATTAGCTAGAGGGGAAAATAGGCACTGACCTAGTTACTCTATGCTACACTGTATAGTGAGTTTAAACTTGGAAATATTTTGTGAGATGAATTTAATAACAAGAAATGGTTTTAAGGATTGATCTGTAGAGGATAGGAGATTTTGTGCACCTCTTTGGCTGGAAGTACTAAAAAATCATTTCAACAATATACTTAGAGAGATGCAGCAGTGCTTTGCAGCAAATACATTTGTTTTACAGCAAATAAACTATTTTCCTAATGATTTGAGCCTAATGATTTGGATTGACTTAAGAAATTAGTAAATGCATTGGCTCTAGAGACACTGGAGTTTGCGATTGCTGCAACATACACACTGTAATTCCCAGGGGCTGAGAAATGTATATCCAGTTTTCATATTTCTCATGCTCCAGAGGGGGCCCTCAGGAGCTAGGGTCTCAGTCTCAGGAGGCATAAGCCTTTTACCAAAATATTCATCAACAATGACAGGGTTGCAAGTGCAGTGCATTCCAGAGAAACCAAGATCAAGCGTGGAGAATCGGTCTAAGTCCAAAATGTGACCCAGAAGCAGGGTCAGGCAACAGTCCAAGGTCAACATCACAGGGAGTTCAGGCAAGGTGCAACACAACAAGGAAGGGAAACAAGAATCAGGATCAAGGAGCCAGAGACTTGTGTTCTTTTCAGCAAATAGAAGGCTCAAGAGGGAGACCTTATGTTCTCTGGTTCCCTAGATCATACCCTAACTGTAGCTGCTAGTAGTGAAGGAGTTTCAGGGATTGCTTTCTTGGCCAGTAGATGTTGTTGCTCTTTGGCCCAGACTTGGACCTTTTGACATCAGCGTTCTTAAGAAAGTTGGGGAGGGATGTTCTTCACCTCCTCTGATAGCTCCAAGGGTTCTTTAGTGGGTCTCAACTTGATGGGCCTCTCAAGAGGATCCTCAGCATTGGTTCCAGGGGACCCTGCCCGCCCTTCAGTGTCCTTGACATGTGAGGTAGTCTCATACTAGGTCAGGGTTAGGCATTTTATTAAAATATTTACATACTGCTCTTCATAATTTACAATAGCCATACATAAAAGCATACAATAAAAACCATATTAAATGTGAAAATCAGAAACCAACTATTATGTACAGATGTTTTCTTAATTGTTTGTCTGGTGGAAGAGAAAGCTTTCAGCAGCCATTTAAAGGTTGAAACAAGGTGCCTGCTGAATCTGTATTGGCAGAGTATTCCACAGGACTGGAATATGAATTTTCTGCCAGAAATGAGCATATAATATGAAGCATCATGTCTGTGCTGGTTGAAGGAATGGTTGTTATTGAAGAATTCAGAAGTATACGATAATATTTTTGGTTGGCATGCCTATTTGTGGTATGAAAAGGCAAAAGTACATAAAGGTTTCACAAACCATATAATTAGGAAAAAATTGTGTAGATTATGGGATAAATATAAAAACTTATTGGAGACCAAAATACCACTTTGGCTTTAACCTTTGGAAATAGTGGTGAAAAATAAAAATATGATGGAGAGTTGGGCAACTTATAGAAATTTGCTAAGAGAGGAGGGTGGAGAATTTAAATTAAACGAGTTTAAGGATTTATCTGGGTTGTTAACAACATGGTTACAATATGGCCTAGGACCCTCGTATCTACGGGACCGCCTCTCCTGGTATACCCCACGGAGGACCTTACGGTCTGCAAATAATAACATCTTGGAGATCCCTGGCCTCAGGGAGATTAAGCTGGCCTTGACCTTTTTGGCCTTGGCCCCGGCCTGGTGGAACACTTGTTTAAGAGAAAATTAAATTAAATGCTATATAGATGGTACCTAACACCTAGTAGTTTGGCAAAAATGTATAAATCAAATTCGAAGGAGTGTTGGAAATGTAAAGAGAAAGAAGAAACCTTTTTTTTTTATGTGGTCTTGTAATAAGGTTAAAGCTTACTGGGAAATGATATATAATGAATTGAAAAAAGATGTTTAAGATAACATTTGTTTAAAAAACAACCCCAGAAGCTTTTCTCTTGGGAATTATGGGATCAGAACTACCTAAACAGTATAGAAATTTATTTATGTACGCAACTACAGCTGCAAGAATGTTGTATGCCCAAAAATGGAAGGAAGAAGAAGTCCCGATGAGAGAAGAATGGCTACTGAAATTAATGGAGTATGCAGAAATGGCAAAACTTACCGGAAGAATAGGAACTCAAGATAAAAAGTTATTTAGAAAGGAATGGAAATGGTTTATTTGTACAAGCAACGTGTAAACAGATTAAGACAGTGGCAGGATTACTATAAAAACCTGCAGTTTAAAAAAAGGCATATGAGATACATATGGCAATAGATGAATAAAAAATAAATTAAGATAATTTGGAGTATGCAGGAAAGGATGAAAATAAATGTAAAGAACCACAGAAAGAGGGAGAAGGGAGTCAAAGTTTGAAATTTTAGAGTTATATTTGAATAAACAAACAAGGCCCAATGGCAGCCTCACATAGAGTACACTGCAGTAATCCAGCATCAAGATTACATGAATCACAGTGGTTAGGCTATCCTTGTCCAGGAATGGCCATAACTGGCAAACCACACAAAGCTGCTAAAAGGCACTTGTAGCCAAGGATGCTTGGGCTTGGAGTGACAAAGTGCCCCCAAACTGTGCACGTGCTTCTTCAGAGGGAGTGCAACCCCATTCAGAACAGGTTCAGTGACTATTTTCATAGGGCTCAGCTCAGTGTTCTTAATTGGATATTTTCATTGTGCCTCAAAGTTTGCTTTCTTCATACCTGTTCTTCTCAGCAGCTGCTTGCTATAAAAACTGCATCATTATTGTCATTTTCATTTCCTTCCTGTTCTTTAATTGGCAGGGAGTGGGATGCCATCACATCTCAGATCATATACCACCTGCTGTCCCAGCCACCCATTCAAACTGAAGGCAATCAGATTTGTCTTCTGAATTGGCTTTGTGACAATTTTACATCACAAGGCAGATTTTCACCAAGGACAGGAAACATTCCTCCCCGTCTCAGTTGGTATTGGGAAAAGAGGACAATGTGGCTATGGATAGCTACAGTGCTCCATTAGTGGGCTTTCACCAGCAGCAAGGCTGGATAGGTGAACGCTCTTCTTCTGTTCACAGGGCCCTCTCAAGAATCACCAAAATAAGTGCTCATTATTTAACTGAAAATAGATCTGCAAAGGGGATATGTGTGGTGTGTTTTAGGTCAGCGCTAGTTGGAACAAAAGTAGGAACAAAAACAACCGTATACATTTACCTTCATTGTTAGAAGGCAACTACTGTTCTTTCACTGCACTGTCTGCCCTCTTTTCCATACTGTAGATACCGGTACCTAGAAAAATCCATGAACGTAACCATTATTTGCATGAGTCATTCATTGTAGGGGAATGGTGGATGGATCCTGTTAGATATTTGCTGCAAAAAGATCTCTGAGATGCTAAAAAGAATTATCCACGACTGAACCCTTTCAGGGGAAAAAACAGGTATTCCCTCTCTGTGACATGGTTTAAGATTAATAGAGACCTCTGGATGGCTAGTGTTAGAACATCTTAGTGCCAGTAAAAAATAGTAAAAAAAGTGAGCTTTTCCATGGTCACAGTCCAACACAGAGCTTAGCATGTTTCAGCTCATCAATTTTATTGATTTTAAGTCCCTTAACTGTGGACTGAATGTATGTCCTGCAAGTATTCCTACAGATGTTTGCACCCTACAGATGCAAAATATTTATTTGGAGCTGCAAATTCTCAATTGCAAATTCTGCCACTATGAATCTGTTCCCAACATGTGACAGTGCCGGATTTAGGGTGGTTCTTCTGCACAGCGAGCCAAGCCAAGGGGCTGCAAAATTGCAAAGATCCATTGGGCGTACCAAATTTTGGCCTTCCACAAGGTGCCATATTATGAAAGATTACCAAAGTCCGCTCTGCATGTATGAACTTTAATAACAAATATCTCTTTTTAGCACAACTCTCTGCTACCTGATTCCCAATGAAATAGAATATTCTCACTGTGGTCTTTTTCAAATGACGAGTGGAGTAGAAATCTGATTGAGCAAAACGCAGATGAAATATGGCATATACTAAAAGAAGCTTTTTCAGAGTTAGAAGAGCAGAAGCATGGAAAGTTAACTAGACATGCCCATTGATTAATGAAGAAATGAGTGTGTTGCAGATACTGTAGTTCCTTGTTGAATAAATGTGTTCACTTACTACTTTTGATAAAAAGCCCAGTAAAAACATTTCATTATTAAGACTGACTATTTCAAATAATCCCATACTTTCATGCATAGATGTAAAACATTTGTGGGAGCTCCGGAAGACCTTTATTCCAGAGTTCTTAAGACTTTAGTCCTGGGTTCTTAAAGAGATGAAACCAGTAGGGTCTCTGTTCACAATCTCTTTCCTTCACCTCTTGGGGCCTATCTATGTGCTATATTAAATGCATGTTTACTTTTAAAAAGAAGAATCGGAGAAGGGAATCAGTATTCGGGCTGTATTGTTTGTAGAGGAGAGTCAAAGTGCCAGGTTTATGCAGACAATTAGGAAAATCATTTTCTATAATAGCTGATGGTCTGTAACTTTAGATCTTTAGATCTCTATGTGGTCACCCACCTGCACACATTTGTTGAAAACTGCTTTGATACTGGTTTATGAAATTGTGGTACATATGAAATGCCCACGTCGGCATAAAAATAGCTCAAAAACAGCAAAAAAAAGAGCTCAACAACTTTTCTGTCTGGATTTTCACTGTTTGAAATATGACACCCCTACCCAGGAGGGAAGCTGCATTTGAAGGGATGGGTTTTAACTGGACAACAGAACAAAGGTTATATCCTACACATGCTTCAGTCCAAGTTTGAACTCTTCTGGGGCTGCTTTGGGTTAAAACAATGTTGAGGACTGAGAGATCTAAACTTCTCTGTTAAGAAGACTAGAGCTTCATCTCTTGGCCTAATGTGCAGATTGGATCACTGAATTATCCACTGACTTTTGCAATTCCACAATATCCCATTGTAGTTCTTGGCTAAAACAAAATTATTGAAATGCATATTCTGAGAGAGAACAAGTTCAAAATTCTCCAGAAGTTTGTCTAATTCTATTTCATAGCCATTCCCTATGTAGTGGGAAGTTGGCCATATATTTGATGAAAATAAGCATTAAGAGTCCTTTTTTTAAAAAATCCCTTTTCTCTTATGTGTGCATGTTTCTTTTCTCTCCCCCCCCCAATAATAATAATAATATAAACTCTTCAGGGAAGAAGTGTTCTTCCCAAGTGTCAAGCCATTCATTAACGATTGCTGATGCATTCAATTGTGGATTTTCTTGAGGCCAAGGATTTGTCTTTCTAATGACTGCTTATGCAACCTCTTACAGCCACTGTTGTTGGTACAAGAAGTAGTGAAAAGAAGGGGTGAATGATTTCTGCTTCAACTTTTGTGCCTCTGGTGTTTTGTGGTGATGACGGAAGACTTTTAGTGTTTTTCCTATGCTGAGAAAAGAGAGTTGCAGCATTGCATCTCATCAAAAAGAAGATGCCCACGTCCTTTTCCCCATGTTATTTTTTAAATATTAAAAAATGGAAACATGAAACGCGAAAAATCACTTATGTTTTGCACCTTCTTTACATGCTTTTAATATGCAAGGCCTCTTTTATTTGAACAAATTACTTATTTAGAAGTGTTTTTCCTTAAGCAACTTACTTGTTTACCTTTTCGTGCATTCTTAACAAGTGTTGTACATTCTCTTGATGGCTGTTGTGAGTACCTCAGCACACAGCACCACTTGCTGTAGCATCACCTCTCAATCTTCCTTGTATTCAAGATCACTGTGACATCTTCGCACCTTCATCGCTTAGAGATGCAGAGGACCCAATGGCACTTTGTGAGCCTCCACAATTCTCATTCTAGTGAGTGTGAAGATTTGCTAAGAAGAACATGAAATAAGCAGTTTATACAACATATAGCTTGCATGCAAGGACATTGTTAGCTTGGGTGGTACTACAGCATCACGACCCAGTTGTCCAAGACTCAGTTAATGTTAACAGCAAAGGAAAACATGTTATTTCATTATTTCCTCTCTCTTGCACAGCAGCAGCTGAAGAAAAAAACCACATTAAATGAAAAGAATATATTTTTTTCCATAAAGTACCTTTCTTTCTAAGGAAGAACCCAGTTGCCCTGTAGCCCAGTGTTGTAGTGAACTTGAATTCAGCTCCTAACCATGTAATTAGTGGCAGGGACATATGAACCGGAATATTTAAAAGATTTGCACCAGTGTCTCTTGTGAAATACATTTAAATAATTTTTTCCACTTCTAGTGCATTTTCAGAATTGATGCTGGTTTTATTATTGCCTTATTTATTTATTGTAAGCTGCCTCAAATATGTTTTATACAGAAAGGTGGAATATAAATTAATAAATCAAATAAACTAAGCTAAAACCAAGTATTCCAGCTTCTAGTAGCATTTATCCCAGCTGTTGTAGCTCTTGTTCCACAAGGATACAGTCAAATATTGAGTAGATTTTACCTGTCTTTACTTAGAAAAACATTAGCATATCCTTCAAGTTTATGTGACCAGACCACTGTTAATATCTAGGAAAGCTGGCTTTGAGGTTTGCTAAGGCTACCAGAATCTTTCAGGAGTTAATGCTGAACTCTGGAACCTGAAGTCTCCTGCATAATACAGAAGCTGGGAATGCTTACTCTGTAGCTATAGAGGAAATAGTCTGTTGGCATGCTCAGGCTGCCTTCTACCCCAGCCTGGGTGGAATCTAGACACAAATAAAAAATGTAGTGAAAATGCTTTTTTAAAAAAAGTTTTGAAAAATATATATTGAATTTGCCATAGCTCACCATCATCATCTAGTGTCACATTTGTATAATGCACTTTACAACACACTTAAAACGTTTTATTTGCAGCTTTATAGCTGAGTCCCTGCATATTTTTGGAAATATGGTTGGGGTTCTTCTGCACCTTCTGTGTGATCTTGTGATTCAGTGTGAGAACTCTGGAGAGCTGCTGTTTGTCATTGTAGAGCTGTAGATAAATCTGAACTAGATATAGACCAGTGTTCTGACACAGGGTAATACAGCTTTCTGTGTGCATCTTTTAAAATTAAGGACATAGGGCTGGATTCAGCTAAGTAGGCGCAGTAGCCGGAAACAGCACAGTGGGTCCCAATGTTGCAATGTGACTTCCCCCCTCTCTTCCTGCTCCATGCCCTCTCATAAGCTCTTGGGGATCGGGAGATCCCGTGGGGATTGGGAGCATGTGGGGAGGCTGAGAGAGGAACTCATTCCATCAGGCAAGCTGAAATGCTTGTGGTGACTGAACCATTGGAAGAGGACAACATTGAATTCTTCCTTTAATTGTCTATTAGAGAGCTAGACACTCTGATGGCTAGGACAAATGGATTTATTTCTTGTCTTCTAGTAATTATTTAATATCTGAAGAAGTGTGCATGCACACAAAAGCTGATACCAGAACAAGCCTAGTTGGTATATAAGGTGCTACTGGAATTTTTATTTTTATTTTTATTTTGGCTGCATCAGACCAACACGGCTACCTACCTGAATATTTAATTACTGCATGCCATGTACACTGGGATCCAGAGCACAAACACATCTGCATGTATCCTGGGTTTCACCATGCTTTCTCTGCTATTTTTGGAAGAAGGAACCTGAAAGGATCCATTGTGCAGATGGCCCTTCTAATCTTGGCTCATTGCTTATGAACTATCAACAGTGATCACATTAGAATGAACAGCATGCAGGTGGGTGTAGTATCTACAGCTATCAGTCATCCTTCCAGAAGAGAAGAGGCTGATGGTTTTGAACGTTTTCATTAATTTAACAGCTACTGAAAATTTCCATTAATAAACTGAGTTCCCAATTATTTGATTATTGCACATTGTATGATAAAATGAAAGCGGCACCCTAGTAATAATATAACTAGTTATTTGAAGGTAATTACTGGGCTACAAATATGAAATGTGTCCAGCATTATGAAAGCTAGCTGAAGCTTCTGCATAGCTTAATCCCAGCAAGCAAATGACACCCACCCACCAGCGTTATATTGTGGCCTGTCAGGTGCTTGATTATCCATTGTCTCCCAAGGCAGACGGATGCCAACAGCAAGAGGAGCAGCAAAAATTCTGTATTCAGTACCGTATTTTTCACTCTATAAGACGCACTTTTTCCCTCCTAAAAAGTAAGGGGAAATATGTGTGCGTCTTATTGAGCGAATGCAGGCTGCGCAGCTATCCCAGAAGCCAGAACAGCGAGAGGGATCACTGCGCTCCCTCTTGCTGTTCTAGCTTCTGGCTTAGCCGTGCTGTGTCCCTTCCCCCACCTCCCGCAAAAGCCAGCAAGAGCCGCGCTCCCTTTAAAGAGTGCGTGGCTCTTGCTGGCTTTTGCAGGAGGTGGGGGAAGGGACAGAGCATGCGGTTCCTGCCTCTTCGCTCAAGAGGCTTTGCATTGCTTTCGCTGAAGCCAGAAGAGCAAGAGGGATTGGTGTGCACCAATCCCTCTCTTGCTCTTCTGGCTTCCGGGATAGCCACACAAAGCCTCTTGAGTGAGGTGGAAGCGCTCCTGCCTCTTCGCTCAAGAGGCTTTGCATTGCTTTCTTGTTTCTTTTTTTTCTCCTCTAAAAACTAGGTGCGTCTTATGGTCAGGTGCGTCTTATAGGGCGAAAAATATGGGTATGTGCTTATTTTGCTGCCATGGTACAAACAGGTAATAATTCTTTCTTCAAGAAAGAGAGAGCTTTTCATTTAGCTAACAGGAAATAGAAGGCTTCTTTGTGGTAAGAGAAAATGGGCACTCCTATTTCCGCCTCATGGGACGCGGGTGGCGCTGTGGTCTAAACCTGATCAGGGCTTGCTGATCATAAGGTCGGCGGTTCAAATCCCCATGACGGGGTGAGCTCCCGTTGCTCGGTCCCTGCTCCTGCCAACCTAGCAGTTCGAAAGCACGTCAAAGTGCAAGTAGATAAATAGGTACAGCTCTGGCGGGAAGGTAAACGGTGTTTCCGTGTGCTGCTCTGGTTCGCCAGAAGCGGCTTAGTCATGCTGGCCACATGACCTAGAAGCTGTCTGCGGACAAACGCCGGTTCCCTTGGCCTATAGAGCGAGATGAGTGCACAACCCCAGAGTCGTTCGTGACTGGACCTAACGGTCAGGGGTACCTTTACCTTTATTTCCTCCTCAATAAGGCTGGATGAGTACCTCACATAATTGCTCTACAAACCAACCCCTTTCATGTCCTCATTTGGTTTGGTGCTCTTGAGAGGCAAGAGGCTTTCCAAAGGCCACCTAAGCTCTTTTTAGATGTTATAGTAGAGCCAAGTTAACATATTGCAGGTGGGGAGCACCAGTATAGAGGCAAATTCCTCTCCAAACCAATGCTCACTCTTTGGAACATCTGTGGAAAGCATTATGTCTATGCATAGGGATCTCTAAAACATGTAAATCATCACATCTAGGTATGTGGAGGAGCTTTCTATTACAGTTCTGCCTCTTCCCCCATCATATTGTGCACCCATTCAGCCCTAACAAACATCTGAGGAGTGTAAGTGTGAAGCCATATGAAGGCTGACTTTATAAGTTGTTTGAGGTTCAGCATGGTAGCTACTAATAATATTGAACATGGAGGCCTTTCCTTATGTGAAGTGCATAGATACACATAGGTGCAGCAGTTTT